GTGCATTAAATTGAATTAAATTATAGTGCCATAATGAGCTGCCTAAACCAAACGGGTGATAAGCAATTATCTAAATGCTTTCAGTTCTGTTATGCCTATACACAATTTGGACCACAATAAAGTTCCAGGCTGATGGGCTGTTAAAAAATAAATAAATAAATAACGGAGAAATGCGAATGTTTCTTACTAGATCTCGCAGCGATGTTATTACTTCAGTGGCAAATTCAAATGCTTTCTTTACTGGATTTCACAGTGTAGTAACAGTGCTGATGATCAAGATCGGCTCACGCTGGATTGGTCCAAACGGATAAACGGTCCGTCAACCACACAATAACGAGTAGCTCAGTTTCGTTTCGCTTACATTACATTTGCCAGTTGATGTTGGGCAAAGTTGTGGTCACGCCACCATCTATGAGCGTGCTTGTGACGCGCCTACATTTGAAATAACGAAATGTTGATTGGCAGGAAAAATGGTCCAACGAACCGTTTAAAAATGTAAAATATAAATACGTGTATTGTTACACCCCTAACTAGTAGCCTACATCTTCCTAAAAAACCTAAAGCACTGTTCAGTTCATTAATTTTTGTTCTGTTGTAATTTTTGTTGGTTTTTGAAATTATTGTAATTTGTTCTAAAACGCAACTTGATTTTGTGCTCGAGGCTATTGGCTCCGCCCAACACGTTGTTAGCCCTGTCTCGCACTGGCTTGACGGGCAGCTAATGATGGCAAAATATGTAGGCTGTGCACACATCTGTCTTGTGAGACTGTCCCTTTAGGCAGATTACATTTTGAATGTTGGATGGACTTTTGAAATGCCTCTGACGTTTTGAAATCCTTTTTCTCCGATCATTTTCACCACTTCAGAGGTATAAATAATGTATCATTAAACTGACCTCGGTGATGAAATGATAATATTTGCTTGAAACTCACTGTTATGGTTACCCTGACCTGGTTACCTTTTTTTTTTTGCAATGCATGTATATTGTATTTTTGTTGGCACATGGTTTTAAAATCTTAGACGAATAGCTTGTATGCAACATTAACCAGTTGTAATCTACAGAAAATGCATATTTGTCTCAACACGTAGCTGTAGTCAAATACTTTTGCAACGAAGCAACGATCCTGATCCAGATATAATCTGCCATCCCCTTGAGGTTACATGCATAGTAAGAAGAAAAAGAGCCCTTTGGAGGAGTGTGGTTGTGGGGTCTCGGCCCCCACCGGAGAGCAGCCAGTGTTCCACAGATTCTAGGAAAAGCTGTTTGCTCAGAGTCCAGATATTCACACATGTGGTAAATCTACTCCTGTCCCCTCCCATTCCTATATAGAGGGCTATATGGAGAGGAGGGTCTCCTCTTGCCTAACTGCTAAAGCCCTCCCATCCTGATATAGTACATTCTGTCCTTTTACTTAAAAGAAAAGGCCCTGTTAGTTTGGGGAAATGGAGATAATGGTAACAGTCTGTGGTCTCAGTGAGACATCACAAGAACTTAAGAGATCACTGACCAATCTTTAGAGACTTGAGCAATTTTTAGAGTCATTGAGACTTTTCGAAGTTATATGACATGCTGTTTACCTATGACTTGGCAATATAGATACAAATCTGTATCTATGTTTTTATTGTCATTTCGATTTCATATATCTTTATGCATTTGCTCTAAAATGGCTTTGAATGAGAATGACATGGTGCATTATCCTGCTGGATGTAGCCATCAGAGGATGGGTACATGGTGGCCATAAAGGGATGGACATGGTCAGAAACAATGCTCAGGTAGGCTGCGGCATTTAAACGATGCCCAGCTGGCCCTAAGTGGCCTAAAGTGTGCCAAGAAAACATCCCCCACACCATTACACCACCACCACCAGCCTGCACAGTGGTAACAAGCCATGATGGATCCATGTTCTCATTCTGTTTACGCCAAGGTTGTGCGTGTTGTGGCTTCACAGATGCATTGCTGCATACCTCGGTTGTAATGAGTGGTTATTTCAGTCAAAGTTGCTCGTCTATCAGCTTGAATCAGTCGGCCCATTCTCCTCTGACCTCTCGCATCAACAAGGCATTTTTGCCCACAAGAGTGCCGCATACTGGATGTTAGTGTTGTCACGGTACCAAAATTTCAGTATTCGGTACCGATACCAGTTAAAATTCACGGTTCTCGGTACCAATTTCGGTACCAAAGCTTAGTTTAAATTTACATATATTTAAGTGTTTATCACGGTTACAAGTATGGAAACTGTACATTTGTATTATAAACACTTTAGAAAAAGATTAGATAAAATGACCTAAAATAAACAATAGTATACACTAACACATTTTTAAAGTTGTTTGTAAAGTTTTAATCCATTATTTATTTAATGCACAATGAATTAAGTGAACAAACATGAACAATCAGGTGTTTGTAATAAATAACATTTTCAAACATTAATTAATGTTGTAAAAATATATTGTTCACTCAATGTGTTGATAACTAAGTAATGTTGATGAATGGTATCTTTGTAGCTTTACCATAAAACATGTTTTATTTGACTTGACTGTCCTTTTATTTAATCTAAAACTGCATTCATATTTAATTTTAAAAAGGCTTTTTAAACCTGCTGAGTTATAAAGGCAAGAATACGCCTAGAACTGGCACTGACATTAAATGACAATACTAATACCAGTAGCCTACTCTGGTGTCGGGTGGATACTACTGTGCTCATTTACTTGTAAAACTACCCCGAAAGCACTTTAGAGGCCGTTCACATGTCGCGCGTGTTTTTTAATTATATTTTTGCGCATGCTTATTCTTTCCAAAGCGCTTGCTCTCACGCGGCGTCTGTCGTTGCTATGCAACGCCAACGAGTTTTTATTATGAGCGCGCTTGAATCGCGCCTATATTTGAAATTGCGAATTTGCATGTAATCGGCCTCTTATGGCAACGTGACATTAGCCTAATCCAAAATATTTCCATATGTGGCTCTTTCCTCCTTTCGTTTCAACAAGTGGATTCAGAGAGAGAGAGCCATATCAGCGTTATAAAGAGGACGCAACTGTGCACGTTTCAGACATCGCGTCTAGAACAGAACTGGATTAACCTGGTACTCGGTACCTAGAAAAGCTGGTACCATAACATTTTTTTTTTTTTAGTACCGACTTGGTACCGAAGTACCGAGTTTTTTGACAACACTACTGGATGTTTTTCCCTTTTCACACCATTCTTTGTAAACCCTAGAAATGATTGTGCGTGAAAATCCCAGTAACTGAAATTCTCAGACCGGCCCGTCTGGCACCAAAACCATGCCTTGCTCAATTTCTTAAATTCCCTTTGTTTCCCATTCTGACATTCAGTTTGGAGTTCAGGAGATTGTCTTGACCAGGACCACATCCCTAAATGCATTGAAGCAACTGCCATGTGATTGGTTGATTAGATAATTGCATTAATGAGAAATTGAACAGGTGTTCCTAATAGTCCTTTGAGTGAGTGTATATCAGTGATGCGCGGGTCAATGTATAAACAACCCGCAACCGACCGACGTTTTCAACTACCCGCCCGCAACTCGGACTGCAAAAAAAAGTAAAAAAAATATTGTACCCGATCCGCTTCCTGACCACATTTTTTAAAAGTAGTAAATGCTCATCGGAGCGTTATTGGTCCATAGACGTGTAACACAGCATCGCAAGAAGACGTAGGCCTACACATAACAAAGGCAAAGCCAGCACTTTGGTCATCAACTTTCATTATTTCAGCAAATGTCTCCCACACGTTTACTCTTTCTATTTGTGTATTTGCGGAGCTTCCACTCCCCAGTCTTCACCTTTTCTCTTGCCGCCTCCATCTCTCTGCAGACTGTAGTGATCACATGGCCGGTTCGTCTACGAATCGTTCTTTTGAAACGGTTCTTTTTAGTGAACCGGTCGAACCAGTACACTAAATCGAACTGAATCGCTCGAAACAGTTCGCGTCTTGCGTCAGTGCTGATCCACAAGTTACTAAGGTTACTCACTTTCAGACATGCCTGACAGTCCCTCCGAATCGAAATAAATCAATATCCCGAATTATATTTTACTCCAGTAACTCCAACAGTTCACTGAACCGAGACATGTTGGTGATGAGCACGAGCAGCTGATACTGCGCATACTGTGTACTACCGAACGCACAGGGACAGCAGCAGTTTCATGCCAGTTATTCAGCCAATAATGTGTAGGGCTGTAGGCTATATTTCATCAAAAATTGTGTCTAGTACTATATTAATACAAATGTTTAATTGGCATCTTTTTTTTAAACGACCCGACCGACCGCGACCCGAATATCATTAAAAACATTTTTGGATGACCCGTAACCGCGGGTGACCGCAGGCACCCGCTCATTTCGGATCAACCCGCGCATCACTGGTGTATATACTTGTGTGATAAAGCCAAAGATAAAATCTTGTGACGTACTCTACAGTTCAAACGTTTTGAGTAAATTTTTTTCAGCAAGGATGCAAGTTACTGTAAAGACTTTTACTGTTAAAAAGACTTATTTCAAATAAATGCTGTTTTTTAAAAAAAAAATTCTTTTCATCAAAATCACAAAAAATGTTCATGGTTCCCATAAAAATTAAGAAATAAGTGATCCGAGAACATGATAACAGTGTTTACAACCTATTTTTAAAAAATCAAACTGACCCCAAACTTTTGATTATAAGAGATGTCAACGCCTATCTTTGAGTTCTCGTACTTGCAAGTGGCGAGACAAGGATTGATTGTCAAACTAATCATGAAACCTCATGGTCTCAAATGAATTAAAATTATTGCAATCATTGATTCAGGTTGCTTAATTTGCCGTAGCAAAATCATTGCAAATATTTAGTGAACATTGATATATTTGCCAGTTAACCTCAATCGTTCTTTTGGGTGTTTTTACTACAGCCTGAGCAGACTACAAATCAACTCCCCTTTGATTTCCTCGTTGGCCTGAACTTTTCATTTCTCACATAACTTTTTCTATTTCTCTCTTTCTGCTGGATGGAGTGCAGGAATCCCTCCACAGCTTTCTACCAAGCTTTCCAGTCTGGCAGTAGGCTGAAGGACTCAAAGATGACCTGTGATAGGTACAGTAATGGGACAGACCCTGGTGTGACGCAGAAGTGTGCTGCATGAGGCGGGCATGGCTTTGAGGCTTAAGTGGTGCTCTCTGCAGTGGAGCTCAGCGCAAACATAACCGCATAATGCTCATATGCAAATTGCAATATTAATAAATGTGAGTTAATTCAGCTAAAATCCTATGGGAAAATGGTGATACTGGTGATATGATACTGAATCGTGTTTCAAACGCATTGCTTTCCATTAACACAGCAATTAAATAGCTGAAGCCAATGTTGAGCTGCAAATAAGGATTTATGCCAATAGGATAATTTGTTTTTGTGCAAAATGTTTATAATTGGGCTTGTCGGTTAATTTCTGCACATCTAGTTGAATTAAATGCACCACCACAGCTAAAGATCTTAAATTTACTAGTCAGTTGTTCAACAACTGGTTCCCCAACCTAGACTATCATAAGTATTGGTCAACCGTAGTGCTGGGCGGTATACCGGTTCATTTTTTTTTTTTACGATGTTTTTGTCCAACAAAACGCTCCTTCAAAACACAAGAACACCTACAGCAGGGAGCAAACAAAAGCATCACGAGGGATGGCGTTAAACTACATCATGTTTCAATGCACATAACATTTCAATAACAATGAACATAATCATCTTAAAGAGCACTGACCTGTACCACCTGACTGCTGCAGATTCATTTCAGCGTTGATTTTGTGTTGCCATTGAAACATGAATTCGAATCACGAACCGCTCCAAGCATAAAGTCACGGGTTTGCATCTCTTCTACAGTAGTTATGGCGTGAACGCAGCATAAGCTGGTTGCTTTGGTTCAGGGGGAGTTGTAAAAGTTGGCTGCTGTTTCTGTTGCGGTCCTCAGTGACTGACGTCTGTCTAACTCTGCATAGCATGAAATGCACCGATGAAGCCATGTCAATTTACATATATACATATAAATTAGGGATGCCCACATTGACCGTTTAACCGTTAACCGGAAGTAAAAATTTGGACCGATTAATCAGACTTTACAGATAATGAGCGAGACGTTATCTCTGTATTCCCGGGACATCTGTGCCATTTCTGCCGCGGGTCTAACTCAACAGGCTGTGCTCCAGACTAACCCCACATGTAGACATGTTACTTTTTAAAAATAAATACTTGACAATGTGTGGCTTGAGGTAGGCATGCTATTTTTATTTGATTTAGTCTGGTGGGGAAAAAAAATGGCTGTTTTTTTTTCAAAGCTTTAAATGGATTCAGTGTTTTCTTTTTGTCATCTTAATTTGTAATTTGTTATTAATTATTGAAGTTAAAAACTTTTATTGTAGGCCTATTTTAAACAGGGCTCCAGACTAACATTTCCAGTGGTTGAAGTGGTGCTACCAACTTTATCAACTTTCTTTTTTTTTTGCTACATGCCATGGGATTAATCAATGCATGATGATGAATATAGTGGTTTTAATGGACCAAAGCTAGCAAAGGGTTACTGGGTTGCAGCATAAATACCTGTAATATATTAATTATCATTGCCAAATTTCAGGATTTTCATGGATTTTGGACAGTAATTTTAATCTGTAATTTTAAGCATTTTACATTTATTTATTTATTTCAGGTTTATTTAACAGGGACAATGCACACTAATGATACATGATTAAATGTACAGTGTGCCAGAATTAGCCAGTAGGCTATTTTACATCTGCTGTCCCTGGACAGATCTTGATGTCACACCTAAAACAAAAAAACAACAACAAAAAAAATATATCTAGGACAATAACTAATGTCAAAGGTTTCCCCTATCTAAACACAAGAGAAAACAATGAGCCAGCCAACCACATTGGCATAGCACAGGAGACACAAACAAGCAAACAGACTAATAAAAATAAAGATTAACAACAAAAGACAAAAAAATAAATAAAAAGGCAGGACAAGAAACAGTGCAGCAGCAAAATTTCATGTCAAGTGTAATGTAAATTTCTTTTTAAGTTATGTTTAAAAGAAACATAAGATTTAAAATTCCTAATGTGAATTGGAATGAGATTCCATTCACGAGCTGCCCTTATTGAAAAAGCTGTTTGACCAAGTGCACTCTTCCTAAACGGGACAATGCAGTCACCTCTTGCTGCACTCCTTGTAGATCTGAGAGCATTTGGTGCTGCTGTGCTCAAAAAAACTGGCACAAAACAGGAGGAGCCAGTCCATGCAAAATTTGATACACAAGACAGAGATCTGCGTATTTAATCAAGTTTTCGAAATTCAATAGATTATATTTTTTTAAAACATGACAATGATGATAATATAATTTACATTTGAATTATATACAATACAAATACATCTATTTACATTTGAATCACAATCTTCTGTGTCCGTCCGTCCATCCGTCCATCCTTTAAAATTCATTAAACGTTCAAATGCATGCATTACACTTTAAAAGATTAGAGTATTATAAGCTAATACAGATTTTTCATTAGCAAAGTTTATAGTTGTAACAAAAATCAGAAATCTCACACTCCTTACCTTCTGCATTTTATGATAATTTCATTTTCCTCAGTCGAGCGATTACTCTCATCTAACCGCTGAAAAGACGTAGGAAGGGGTACGTTGTTTCGTGAGACATTTTCATTTTTATATGCTTTAATTAGTGAATTCGTAGTTGGCGCGTTCCACCATCAGTGTGCAATGCACGTGACGTCTACGTCTGAATATAAACACTGATTATAGGTGCACAGTAGTGATTCAGGACAAGTTAAAAACATGCTTTGGAAAATGGATTCATGATGTAGCCGACTCGTTCATTTTGAACATAAGTTACGGACTGCAGCAGCTGATACAACGCCGTTCTGTTGTGCGAGCGCCCACTCGCACATATGCAACCATATAAAATTTTAACTCGCACATTTCTTAAAAAATGGTTGCATATGTCTGAATAATAAGTCTGGAACCCTGTTGTATTTTTTAAGATTATAATCTTATCAGTTAGCGGTTAATACTTGGATAATAAGCGGCGGTTGTCAGTCAGGAAAATAGACCGAAATGAGTATCCCTAAAATAAATACATTTGGACCACTTCACCTAGTGATTGCTATCAGGAGACTTTCAAGTAGCATAACAAAAAACGCCTACCCTGACTTTTAATGGCCATTTGTGGCATTAATGGCTTTGATGTAATATCAATTTTGAGTCAGTCTGTTTTTTCGACACTAACCTTGCATTCTTTTCAACTCGGATTGTTTTTAAAGACAAGAAAAAGTAGTTATATAAGACAAGCGATCCTTTGTATGGACAAGCCTACAAAAGCTTTATGAGAGCCTTTAAATACCTTTGCTTGGCTCAAGGTTATCAGCAGCCTTTGCTGTGGTCTTGGATATGTTGCAAGACTGGATCTAATAAGTCCGATCAACAAGTTCCCCAACACACTGTTTCTTTTATGTGCAAAGATTCTTCTTAAAAATAATCTTTGGTCAATATTTTGACTGTGACATTAGAGAGGATGAGATGCTTTGTACATGTTTGTGCGACTTGAAACTGCAAGACAGCACTGACTACGTCATATTTAAGTGAATTTTTAACTTTTCTTTACTTTTGAGGTATGCATGTGTACGTGTGTATGTGCTTGTGAAAGCTATCATTACAACAACACTGAGAGCCATTTAGTCTCCCAAATTGTGTCTGTGTGATTTTGTACTGAACGCGTTTCCTCTTAAATGGACCTTTTATGGTTGATGCTAATCTGCTTTTCCTGTGAATGTAAATTGTAGGGAAAAGTACAGAATGTCTCTAAATCAGTGTCATCATTGCCTGTTTTGACTCTGTACACATGTGCTTCAGTGCATTGGATGGATTGATGGGTTCAAAAAAACAACAGCAGCATGTACTGTATATACGAAAAAATGGGATAAATGTGCTGCCGGAAATAGAGCATTGTTAATAAGAAGACGCATTAGTTCCAAATTAGTCCTGGTCTAAATTTTCTATTTTAATATATTATAAAATGGTATTTATTCCTTTGATGGTAAAGCTGAATTTTCCACATCATTACTTCCAGACTTCAGTGTCACATGATCCCTCAGAAATCATTCTAATCTAATTCTAATTTGACGCACAAGATGCAATTCATATTATTAGCAATATTGAGAAAGTTGAGCTTTTCAGGAGTCAGTTAAAAAAATCCATCCATTCATTCGTCCTTCGATCCTTCCTTCCTTTAATGTTTTGACTGTAATTGTGTGAAGTATACAGTACAGTGTTTTCATGTGCATGTTTCTAAAGTGAGACATCCACCGTCTTTGGACAAAACCCTGTGTGAGTATCAGATGGAGGCTAACTGCACTGATTAATTGGTTAATTAAATGGTTAGTTGTCGTTATGTGGGGCTGCTCCACGAGCTGCTCGATTTCCATGATTTTAGCACTATTTGTTGGAAGATTGATGTGTGCATGTGGCGCAATATAACATGATGTTTGGAGAGGGAAGCACCAATGGGAGCAATTTGTGTTATTTAATGTGCAGGCTTTAAACGTCTGCAAAATGGATATGATGTTTCTATGCAGGAGATGTTTTAAATAAGTCTTTTTTTTCCAATTGCAGTGCCTCTGGAGCAAGTGTGGTCGCCATTGATAATAAAATAGAGCAAGCAATGGTAAGTTTTTCATTTATTTATTTTATTTCAGTTATTTATATATACTCATCACTTGACAGTTAGCGGTCATATAGTGCGAGTTTGGCCTTCGAGATGTAAGTTGCTAAAACAAACAACTGTTTAAAAGTATTTAACAAGTAAAAGAAACGATCAGTTTGCAAAGACTCAGCTTTGGGAAGATAAGATGTACATGTAAAGATTAGGAGACTGTGAGAAGTTGTGGAGATGAGAGAGGTATAGTTTGTGATATTAGCTCACTTTTCGGCAAAAGCTCTGTTGGCTTTTGTTATTTGAGAAATAAAAACTTGTGTTAAAGTAATGCAAATGGTTAATTATTTGTATTACTGCATCACAAAAAGTCAAGTCTTGTAAAAGCATTAGATTGAAAACATTGAAATTTCATAAAGTGTGTCTATTCAAAATAGCCTTTCTTTAAATGCAAAATGTTCGTTGAGTATTTCATTTGTGAAGGTAAAGCATATACTCATTATACTCCTAATTACAAAAAGAAGAAAAAACTGCTCTTAAATTGTGTGTGACCCCTGTAACTAAGTTCCCTAAACTACCCGGTGCAAAAGCCCTTATTATAAAATATGCGTTATACAAATTTTTTTTTGACCGTTTAAAGGGATAGTTCACTTTAAAATTCATTTTTGATATGTTTTAGCTTACCTCAAGGGCATCCAAGATGTAGGTGTCTTTGTTTTCGCAGTATTTTCAATTTGATATTTTTAGGTCAAACCGTTCTTGTCTGTCAGTCATATAATGGAGGTCTATGGTCACCACCTCAAAGAGCATGCACAGAGAAGTCCCAATTAAACATGATTTAATGACTCGTAAACGTAAGTACACATTAATGGCCTAAGACACGAAACGAGCAGTTTGTGTGAGAAAACAAAATAGTATTTATATCGTTTTTACCTCTTGTAACCACAGCCAATTCCAAGTGATCTGAGGGCGCGGGCGCTTCGGTCACTTATTGTTTACACAGAGATTTCAGAAGTGTTACCTTTCACTGTGACGATCTAAACATATTTAGATATATCAGAATCGTCTTCCATTGCGATTTCATGTATATCAACAGGCAACGTTGAATTTTTTTCACTACCATATTTAGATCACTTCCGGCGCTTTTCGGCACTTGCGCAGACCGAAGCGCCCGCGCCCTCTAGATCACTTGGATGTTGTTGTGGTTACAAGAGGTAAAAACGATTTAAATACTGTTCGTTTTCTCACACAAACCGCTCGTTTCGTGTCTTAGGCCATCAATGTGTACTTGCATTTACGAGTCATTAAATCATGTTTAATTGGGACTTCTCTGTGCATGCTCTTTGAGGTGGTGACCATAGACCTCCATTATATGACTGACAGACGAGAACGGTTTGACCTAAAAATATCAAAATTGAAACTACTGTGGAAACAAAGACGCCTAAATCTTGGATGCCCGAAACATACCAAAAATTTATTTCAAAGTGAACTATCCCTTTAAGCATTAACCCAAAAACAAAACCAAGACTGCAAAAGGGCATAATAGGTCCTCTGAAATAATATTAGTAAGGCAAATTTTGAATGGGTTCTGATGCTGAAATTGTCACGTTTTGGCTCTAGGATTTAGTGAAAAGTCATCTGATGTATGCCGTGCGGGAGGAGGTGGAGGTGTTGAAGGAGCAGATAAAGGAGCTCTTTGAGAGGAACTCTGTGCTGGAGCGAGAGAACGCTGTGCTCAAATCTCTAGCCAACAGCGAGCAACTCTCCCAACTCGCCGTCCAGCCCAACTCCAACCCATCCAACTCTCCCTCCCAGCTCGGGCCCGTCCCGGGTCAGTCCCAGGCCCAACCTCAGCCTTACCTTCAGCTAGACGCCAATACGACCTTGGACTCCCTGCCACGACAACCACAGCCCAACGTCACCTCCGCCTGAAGCCGGTGCGAACGATGTATACATCATTACAACAGTAGAAAACCGGTCTCGTTCACTACTTCGCTGAGCGCGCGTGATGTCGGTCATCACGACGCGGGTGAGAGGAGTTTTCTGCTCGGGCGCATGCCTGCGGACCCGCGGTCTCGATCGGGGCTTCCGCACGACCCCCCCCCCCATGGACGAGGTGGAGAGTTGTGAAGAGAGTTATTTTTTTAATAAAGAGAATCCAGCCATGAAAGCGGTGTATTTTTTAGCATTGCAGTTTTCATGTTGCAAGAAGCGAGAGTCTATTTTCAGAGCCACCGTACTTCACATGATTTCGATTCACCTGTCAAGTTCAATTGTACTGTTTGTTATTTATTATAGGGCTGCTATTTTCAGAGAGGAACAACGTCACAGAAGCCGAACATTTTCGATTCACAAACCCGACAGTAAATTGGTCATAAATCCAAGCAGTCTTTACAATATCAATCATCAATGCAACCATAAACAGTGGGTAGAGTTCAAACACTAACAGCGAAGTTTCTCTGTGGATAAAGAATGTGAACCTGGCGTGAATGTACATTTTGTATAGTATAAAGAATAAAAAGAGCGTGACAAGTTTGTACAGGTTTGCGGGTGAAGATCTAAACTGAATCCTCAATGATCTACCCTGATGAAGAATGCTTCAGTTCTGTTGCTAGTATGTTGGGAAAAAGAAGTCAGTTGCCATATTCTCCTGCCCGCTATACCCTAATGTCTCATGTTTTTGGGGTTGGGAATGGGATTTAAAAGAAAAAAAAAACTGTGAAATTGTTCAACCTACTTTGTAACCAAAGATGCAAAGCTGTGTAATTATTTTTTTCTTTTGTTATGCACTCTATGTACTTTTTTTTTTTTTTAATGTTCCTCACAACAAATCTTTTTGTTGCTTTTAGGCATGTTCTGCATGATCTGTTATCTGTAAATGTCAAACCACTTTCATACCTCATTTTTGTATTGGGCACTCATATTGTAAGCAGTCTGTGAATGATGTCAGCGGGGGAAGGAGATATGGAGGTGATGGTGTGGAGGGAAAAAAATGATCTAGTGTGTGTGACGCACTAGCCACAGAAAATGAAGTGAGCCATGTTTTGTTCATTTAAATGGTGTTTGAATTTCATATGCCAATAGTTTTGTTACATTGCAAATTTTAATGTATTTAAATAAATGCAATATTCAAATTACAAAAGTGCTTAGGAATGTTTGTGTTAATGCACATTTTCTGCGATGTTCTTGTTTCTGCTTTATGAACCATGATGCTTATTTTCACACTTTAAAGTATAGGCAGTGACTTCCCCACACAGAGAGGAAACATGATGGATCTACCTTGATGTGTGGGTTGCTGATGCACACCACATGTGCTTTTGGAGTATACAGCATATATCATCTCAGGCTCGAAAAAGACCCACATCTTAATTGAGAAGGGTAAGCTTGAATTTTAAAGAAAAAGATCAAGAAAGGTTTTAGCCGTCATCTGATTGTGTTTGCGGTTCATAAATTGTGTATGACTCGCTATAATACTTACCTCGGCCTGTTACGTAGCAGAGACGTGCTAATTTGTTTTTCTTTTATTTTAAGAATTTCTTTCAAAATTTAGCACATTTTCCACCACACCCAAAGACTTTTTGATTTTGAGGTGAAGTATGACCTGGATTAGGTTAGATCACATATACATTACAAATATTATGTAAACACAAGCTTTTATTTTGGATGCGATTAACCGTTTGACAGCCCTACTATTAAAGGGTCACTTCACCCATTTGCATTAAGCTTTGTATCTTTAGAAACCCAGTCATATTTTTGAATGGTCATGGTTTATTCCCTTATTTTCCCCTGAGATGGGAGAAATAAGGATTTAAGTGTTTTATTTCCTGCTTATCGTGACGTAAAAAACGTCATTTTGCGTCACGATAAGCAGGAAGTCACATTTCATTGAAATGTCAACAGACTACAATGATTAGCTCATTATTATTCAAGGGTGTGGCACCCACTCGCCCTACAAGCCTATTACAGATCAGTGGGTGGGACTTCACTTGCAGAGACTGAAATCAATATCCGCCATCTTGTTTGGAAGCTAAGCTAACAAGCCCTGTGGAGATGAGAAGTTATGATAATGATGGAAGAAACTAAACATGAAATGGAAGAAGAGGGTTTTGAAAGTCTGCTGCTCGAATCCGATGTTCGTGGCTATCTTTACGAGCTGCAGCATAGTTTAGAGCAGCTGAGGCTGATGAAGGAGCAGGAGACGCCCGGACTGGGTCGAGCTCGGCGGCCTGCTGTTGCCTGTACTCTCGCTGTGTGTCATGCCCTACGGACACAGTCCGTCTGCTGCAGAGAATTTCAACGATGGCAATTTCTCCTGGAAGAAATCTCTGAATCAGACGAGCACACGGACGTTTGTGTTGTGATAGTTTCGCCTTCAGAACATCCAGGTATCATGCAGTAATTCACCATACAGAAATAAATACAAACGCGGAGTAATTCACTAGCGCTAATGTGTTTACAAATGTAACGTGAACGGGGTTTGTTGTTGTGGGAAGAAAGAGGCATGAACCGGCGAACATTTAATCATTTTAATAGTAAAATGAACAAATACAAAACGAAAGTAAGCCAGCGTTACACACAACAGAAACAAATAAACATAAAATCAGGCCTGTTTCTCTCTCGATCTGCCGTCGTCGCTCCCCATTTTAAGCATTCGCTCCTTCGTGAGAGACGCACCGGCGCGCGCCTCACAGCTGTCTTATCACTCACGCTACCGGTCTCGCGCAGCGCCGTCCTCTCCATCCCTCGCCCTCGATCGTCCTGCTCGCCACAGCCAACTAACTAAACATTTTGTTTGTTTGTTTCATTTTGTCTAGTGTGGTCACATGACCAAATGTTCACTTCCTTGCACATTTTGAAGATATGTCTTCCTCAGACTACTACAAAAAGTAGTTTAAACAGATAAAATTATCATATTTTGTACATATATTCTTTAAAGGGTCTACTGATATATTTTGAGAATTATACTCCTGCATATAAATGTTGCTCGTAAGACGTGTAAATTTGTTAACGTTCACAATTGTGACCAGTAGTATAACACAGTACTTCAATTGAAAACACAGGTATTGGCACTGTATGTATGCAACACTTGTGAGGGGGATTAATTATCTCTTGGGAAAGGAGAAGTGCTCACTAACACAGATTTGTGAACAATATTTGAGTAATAGGCCTTTTGCGCAAATAGAAAAAGTCTTAGCTCGCCGAGTTCAGCTCAAAAATGGGGTCAAAAACAAAAGTGTTGCGTTTATAATTTTGTTCAGTGTAGATATCAGTATCCCAGAAACTTGACCTTCTAGACATACATATACGTATATCGTTATCGTGCAAACATACCCTTAATTTCAAACACGGAAATTAATTTAATGCATAATGTACATAAAATTATTACTCATTTTAGAATTGTCAATTACAAAGAATGCATTTAACAGTGTTTATATTCATCATCTGCTAACAGATCAAAAATGAGGCATTTGTCACACGTTTTTTATTTGAAATATTATAAAACATCTTAAAACAGTCATTTTTTGCTCTACAAAAAGAACATGTTCTGCTTCATACAACCTCTTTATTAAAAACAAAGTCTATACAGAAACGTTTAAATCATTTGAGCTGCAACAGAATTATGTTTTAAAAAAAACAGGACGCCATCAAATATCAAGGGCAGTTCAGGAGACGACACAACTTAACTGAAATTCAAGGACAGTTATGCTTGCTTTTGACAACAACAGATTTTTTTTTTTTTAGAAAAATAAAACAAAAACATAACTTTCCCAAAAAACAAAACAAAAACACTGTATCCACTTTCTGACGAAGTCTCTTTCAGCAGCGTTTTTTCGTGCGAGTTCATGAACAGTGTTAGTTCAGCTCTGGTCCTTGTTTGCCTGTTCTGTTCTGAAGGACTGTCGTTCAGTGAGATCAGGAATAGAGACACACGTGAGCAGCGTCTCCGAGTTCAGCTCTAGGCCACAGTGACGAATCGACCCCCTTTGCTGCTCTGCTCCGCTGCCGCCACACGCTGGTCCTTCAGAATGCGAAACCGTTCGTTGAGGGTCATTGCGGTCTGATAAAGGAAAAGCAGAACAAATCAAGGTGAACATCGGGTTTACCAGAATTGATCTTGGCATAACGGGATGTAAACGCGTTTTATGGTGCTGTTTGGGAACGGACTGCCTTTTCTCCAAATAGGAAGGCAAAACACAGATTAAAGTTCAGGATTTAGTGGAATAATTCAGGTTATAATCAGATTTCTTAAGTGGATGTAAATGATTTGAACTAGAGAACCGGATCAGTCTTATTCATCAATGAATAATTCAGATCTGTTTTGTGGATTAGAGCAACAAAACTATAGAGATTAAAAAAATAAATAGAAAGTTTGACAAATAAGTTGTTTCCAACCAAAGTTACGAATAACTGTAACATAGCATAAAACGCTTACAAAAAAGCATCGTTTTCATCCAATTCATCCGTTAAACTTCAAATAGTAGCCGATCTTAATCAAATCAATTGACGCAATAGTAAAAGTTTGGAAGACCGCAGTTTCACGTGGAGCATTTGGAGATTTTTAGAGATTATAGACTCAATGAACAACATTTCAAAACTAAATCATAAAGGCCGGTCTCGTATAGACGCCCGTCTCAAATACAAGGTGAAACGCAATAAACAGTCATGTTATCTGGTCAATAAATTCCTGTTGTTTGGGAACGCAATAAAGTGAGGCAATCATTTCTGTTTCAGTGAACAATCAATTGTAAATTAACTGACTGAACTACGCAAAAATAGGCATTACCACATTGTTCCAGTGACTCGACGATAAATGTAATAGTGATTTGTCCCACCTGCTTTCCAACACTGTTGATATCAAACTGCAGGGCGACACCTTTGGGAGGTTTCCTCTCTGGCTCTTCTTTAGGTGGAGGTGACGAGCTTGTTGACGTCACGGGGTGCAGCGACCAGGACTGAGCAGGTCTGTAATGGGGGAAAAGAAAGAATACATTAGTTATGCGCTTCAAAACTCCTCAAAGCATTCACAACATGCCAAAAAGAGCCTTAAACAGGTCAAACTAAGAATGACAAAACTAATGGATGTGGTTTTGAAACATGTGGAAAAGAAAATAGACAGCTTTAGGGGTATCCTTTCAAATACAAAAACACATCTGAATGACAAGCGGTGGATGCGTTATGAAATTGTGCATCTGAGTGGAATAAAATGTAATCGTACTCAGGCTGTGTTCTAGCTGTGGGGTTTTCTATCGACACTGTGAGGATGCCACTGTTGTTTGTAGGAGTGCGCCACCTGGTGGAAAAGGGGGAGAAATCAGTAAGGGATTTTTGAACAAAGTAACTTTTGCTCAGCTGCATTTATTTGAGCAGAAAAAAAAACTAATATTGTTAAATATTACAATAGTACATAACTGTTTTCCATTTTAATTTAATTTTAATTAAAAGTGTAATTTATTCCTGTGATGGCAAAGCTGAATTTTCAGCATCATTCAGTGTCACATGACACCCTCAGAAATCATTCTAACATGATAACTGGACCCAATAGAATAAGTTTAACAACTAAAGCAATATCACTGAAAATTGATTGCGTAGAGAGAGAAAAAAAGGATACCTTGAAGAATTGTTAACTTACGAGCGAGTTCTCTGTGTGGGTGGAGCAGACTGTGTCTTCTGAACTTGTGTATGAACCTATTTTGAGAAAAAAAAAAAAAAACTTATATGAGACAGCCAGGGAATCAAACCAGTACACTCCCATTGTATTGGTCTTGAGTTTTAATTCTGAATTAAATTGACTACTTTACCTACATTTCTATATGACCATCAAATAAGTAATGCCAACAACAACTTACAATTCTGAACTAACAATTGGATTTTGATACAGTGAGACTTTTATTCAGTGAAGGATTTGTCAGACTGACTTGAAATGATAGTTTAATGAATCGCAGATGCACATTAAATGCGATTCATTCAATTAATACTCAAACTCTAAGGACCAGTTTCTAATTTAAACGTGTTTCAGTGAAATGTGAGTGTGACCCGGTCACAAGAGCCAATGTGTAACAAATACACTTAAACTGACAGGTGCAAAGAAAATGAGTTCAAAGCTACATATCATTTTGTGAACTCATTTGTGTAAATGCATAAACTTATAGCAACCATATTATTGAGCACTTGTCCTTAAACATGTTAAGCCTGTATGCAAACTGTTACACATTTAAGTGAAAAAAAGGCTCTTTAAAATTTGAAGGTCACATGATCAGAAACCATTCATTCAGCTTTTTGCCAGAAGAATGCATTAGTGACAACAAATAATAAGGTTAACCGCTTCTGTGCTGCTCTGAGCCTGAAGATAATTTGCTTCTTACTTTAAGTCCTCTTCTGAAGAGGAAAGTGGCCTGTCGTGCTTCTCTCTGTGTTTGCTGGGCAGATGGAGCATTCCTGTAGAAAGCAGATGATCAACAGAAGACAGACATTTACACATCACTGAGGCAACTTGGAGAGAAAAAAGAAGTCCATGAATGAAGGAATTATGTCATTCAACTCTTCCCACAACTAGTCCCACAATGAAAAGTGAAGCTTGGTAAGAATAAGAATTATATCGCATTATGCAAGCATTGTGGATTTTGTTCATTTGAAATTCTTAGTAATGTGAAAAAAATAAAATAATCACCATTTTCTGCGAAGCTGAAAGGGTCTGTGAGGAACTGGGCCATGAGTTTTCTGGGAGTCCATCTGTCTGTTTGGTCTCCTCTGAAACGGCAGCTGTCGCCGTTGGGTGTCACGCCGCTGGACAAATGGCTGAGACCTCTGAGACAAGTGAAAACAAGAACATTCTTTCACATGCATGACATCAAAATCACCTTTTAAGCCCAAAGTTCCCATAATCACCCTTCAGTGCAAGATCAATTTCCACACCTGGTTAAAAGCTGCGTTGTTGTGCATGGGCCGGTTCTGAGCTGGTCTGTTCTGAGCAGGTCGGTTGAGTGGACTGATCCCTTTAAAAAGAGCAGCATTTTTTCGGGCTGCTAAACCAGTGATGACCCCCTGCCCACGACGCCTGGCCACGGCGGGCGGAAGCTTGCGGTTTTGACCGAAACGTTTGTTCACAACACCTCCAACAACTGGTAAAAACAAAAGTTGCAAATGCTCAATCAGATTCGGCAGAATTGGTCAAATTGTAATCCTAAAACATGCCTTCAGAAAAGCATCAACTTTTTAAACAGAGGGAGATATTTTGGAATCTTGATTCCTTAACTGGAAGATTTCAATAAAAGGTACATTTCTGACTTCTTTTCTAGCAATTGCGAGAATTGTATATTCCATGGCAGAAACAAGCTTCCATAAAATTACACAATTAGATGGGCTCTATAATAAATCAATAAAAAGAAGATAGTGTCAAATTCTGACCTCTTTTAGACGGCACTCCGGGTCTTGACACAGTTTTCTTCCCCTGGGTGAAGCGGCCCTTCACAGGGAGTCTGTGCTTTGCCTTCTGGAACTGGATTTGTTTCTGTTTCTTATTTAGCCTGATAATATCATCTGTGGAGTAAGAATGCAATAAATCTGAGCGAAACAATCTCTATAAGTCACATCATGCAAAGTGTTGCGTTCTTCAATTAAACACTAAAAATAACAGTAAGTAGCATATAACAACATTATAATACATGAGGATGAATTCAATAAAACATTAATTGAAATAGTATTGGAAACACACTAATTAGCATTCAAATTATACTCACAGTCAGGCTATGACTCTAATCGTGGTTATGACACAAAACAATATTGACAAATGTGTAACGTAACGTTATTACATTCAGATAACAAGTGATTGCTGCTATGTTAACGCCGAATCAGGCTGTGATAAATAAAATGTACAATATTAAAATGCAAAACACGGTAGGCTAACGTTAGTTGTATCTGTGGCGTAAACGTTACCTAAAGACATGTCAACCTTATCGGGACCATCCGTACTGCCGCCGCCAAACGATTGAAAACTAGATTTGCTCATTATGCCTTTCGCTCGATGTTAGATACGATGAAACAAACTACACACTGCCTTCACGATCCAAACAGCCCAGATGAGGAAACTGAGCTTAGCAAATTAGCCAGTTTTCACTGAGCGCTCAACGCTTCTGCGCCTGCGCCAACCCACGCGCTTAGAGCTGAGGCTCTTAGGAAATGGAGTTTATTCTGGAAATACCAAAGACTTGTTTTCAAGTAGAAAACAAGTGCTTACATTTTGTGTAAAATAAAATGGAGCAATACGAATATATATATATATACGCACCAATATATAAATATTTATATAAATCTAAATATATTTCCATTTCCATAATGCAAATGTTACCCAACTGAAAATGTGTGGTTGGATTTGCAGATGTGTAGCACCGCCCCTTGATAGTCATTGGCCAATGAGCGGTGTTACAAAACCATCTACACGTGGGGGAACAAGGTTGCAGGGCAGGCTACAGAAATTGACTTTTGTTGCATTTGTTTGGTTTTTCTGTTAGGTTCTAACGTTATATTCGTAACGCATCGTCTTCCACATGCAAATATATGTGTAGTTTGTTTTCTACGTGCTTATCCATCAGATACAGCAGAAGAGCGCTGCTCCTCCGAGCCATCAGCGACCCAAACACAACTCCACAACATTACAACAGCAGCATGTCTGCAAACAAGCGCAGCCTCAAGCGCCAGAGAGAGTCCGCGAGCGCCGGTGGGAAACAGCCGAAGTCCGCGGGAGAGAAAGGGACAGAGTACGGGGGGAAACAGCCGAAGCCCGCAGGAGAGAGAGGGAGAGAGCCCGGCTGGCTGCTGCAGGAAGTGTCTGAGCTCCGCAGAGCCGCGCAGGGGTGCGAGTTCAACAAAAAGCGCCTCCGCTACCTGTCAAACACCCAGAAAATCAAACAGGGCTCCGATGGGGTCCTCTACTGGATGTCTCGCGACCAAAGAGTCCAAGGTAAAATACACTGAGAAAGAGAAAGTTGCTCAGCACAATTCAGTTACACAACCGTTCAAAAGATACCAGTCTAATGTTTTTGAGCATTTATTTGAGCAAAATACAGTAAAACAGTAATGTGAAATATTTTTACAATCTAAAAGAACAGTTTCATGTTTTAATATCTAATTTATTCCTGTGACGTCACCGCTGAATTTTCAGCATCATTACTCCAGTCTTCAGTTTAGTTTAGTTTAGTTTAGTTTATTTGTTTAGCACGTTTAGTACAAGTACAGAACAATGCTAGGAGGGAACGAAGCCAGACTAGGCTTGTACAGAGTTCCACTCCTATTCCTATTAACTCACGAGATATGCAGACTAAGCATCACAGAAGAAAAAAAGAACAACAACAACAAAAAACAGAACACACAAAACAAAAGATGAAAAATAAAAATAAACAACAAATGATAGAAAGCAATTCAATACAAACAAATGTGCTTAGAAAAGAAAAGCGAGGAAAATATAATATATTATATTATATATATATATATAAATAATAATAATAAAATAAATAAAAACTACAACATAAAAGGCATCAAGCTAGCGATAGTACACTCTTCAAATGCTTTGTAAAAGCTGAATAAGAGGACATTGATTGCAACGATGGACTTAACTCACTCCAAAGCTTAGGACCTCTAAAAGAAATATTAAATTGGTGTCTTGTGGTACGTGCGATTGGTAAGACTAAGTTATTATTGCTATGTCTAGTGTGCAATGAATGAACATGTGAGATAGGAATAAACAAATTCTGGAAAGAGTCTGGTAGATCTTGTTTCCTATAAATAAACTTATGCATAAGTAAGCATGTTTGATAAATATTTACCTTATCAATAGGGAGAACTTTAAATTTATTAAAAAGAGGGACCGAAGGTGCATATCTGTTTGAATGGGAAATGAATCTAAGATACTTTTTCTGTATAACTAATAATTTATTAAGGTGGGTAGGATATGTAGCTGCCCAAACAATGTTGCAATAATTAATAAATGGAAACAAAAAACTATAATATAAGGTTAAAAATGCTGAGGAATGAACCAAAGGACAAACCCTCCTCAATATACCCAACATTTTAGCTGACCTCTTAGAAACAAAATTAATATGATTAGACCAATTAAGACCACTATCAATAATGACTCCTAAAAATCTGGTATGCTGAACCAATTCGATTTGTGCATTATTAATGTAGATCTTAGATAATTCAATAGGGTAATGTTTGTGAGTATTACAAAAAATCATAAAGTTGCATTTTTTTATATTGAGAGTAAGTTTGTTCGATTGAAACCATTCCATGATATATGATAGTTCCTCGTTAACCATTTTTATTAGTATATTGAAGTCATGGTGCGAAGCTACAAGATTTGTATCATCAGCGAATAGAACTGGGAGAAGTTTAGTACAAATCATAGGCATATCATTTATGTAAATTAAAAATAAAAGAGGCCCTAGAATTGATCCTTGAGGGACCCCAATCTTAATTTTAGACTTCATAGAGTCATAGTCTTCCAAATTAACATATTGCTCCCTATTAGCTAAGTAGCTTCTAAACCATCTCAAGGCAACATCCTTCACTCCATATCTACTAAGTTTAGCAATCAAGATATTATGACTAACCGTATCAAATGCTTTACTCAAGTCCAGGAAGACTCCAAGAGCATATTTTTTATTGTCAAGAGCTGAAGAAATATAGTTTACAAGTTGAATAAGGGCATGCTCAGTAGAGTGTCGCTTCCGAAAACCATATTGATGTTTATATAAAATATTATTAGCATCCAAGTGATTAAATAATCTCGAATAGACAAGTCTTTCTAAGATTTTCGATATACACGGGAGAATTGATATTGGCCTGTAATGATATTGGCCTGTTCAGTGTCGCATGATTCTTCAGAATTCAATCTTCTAATATTATAATTTGCACAAGAAACATTAATTATTGTCTATTTTGTGCTGCTTGATATTTTTCTGGAAACCACGATTTTATCGAAGTTAATTTATAATAGAAATATTGTATAACACGATCAAAGTCTTTACCGTAACGTAATCAGTTTATTGCATCTTTGATGAAAAAAAAAAGTATTAATTTCTTTCTAAATGTACACTTCTGCTGTTTGTGTTGCAGATAACTGGGCACTGATCTATGCTCAGCAGCTGGCCTTGGCTGAGAAACTTCCTCTGCACATCTGCTTCTGCTTGGTACCTCGATTTTTGGATGCAGCTTACAGACAGTATGCCTTTATGCTAAAAGGACTGCAAGAAGTGGCAAAGGTACACATATTGCATCATCATGACATAGGGTCTACTCACACCAGGAAAGTCTGCTAGTTCACTTACTTTGGTCTGGACCAAATACAATTTTTTGTTTTTGTTTTTTTTTGTTTGGTGTGGTTCCCTTTCACACTGCCATTTTTTCAAGTGAACCAAAACCATGTGTGTGCTAAGGTCATCCATTCATTGGACATAAATTCGAACCGGACCTCTTCAGCTGAGTCTCGGTACGGTTGTTTGGTCTGCACCCGAGTATGCCCAAAAGATCCTCACCAAGGAGGGAAACAAACTTGAGTTCATTTCAATCAAACTAAACAAGAAAGGTTTTAATACACCCTAAATTAGACACATCGATTAGATCTGGCATGATGGGACTGGCCGGTGTTTCTGCTTGGGACGCACACCTAGGTAGTAGGGAGATTTAATGTGTGGTATTTTAATGTTATGTCTCTTGTTACAGGAATGCAAAAGCCTGGATATTCAGTTCCATCTGCTGTCAGGGGAACCTGGGCAAAATCTGCCAACCTTTGTTAAAAACTGGAACTTTGGAGCTGTTGTCACTGACTTTAACCCTCTCAGGATCCCCCTCCAGTGGATTGAGACTGTTAAGAAACACCTTCCGTCCGACATCGCCTTCATTCAGGTGTGCCATTCATCTTTACCTTTATTGTCTTGTGCACTTGTGATTGTGTCATCATCACTACTACTGTAATGCTAATTTCTCCCAGTACGCACTGAATTGAAAGCATGCTACTTTAAATCCAGGTTGATGCACATAATGTGGTGCCGTGCTGGCAAGCATCTGAGAAGCTGGAATATGGAGCCAGGACAATACGGGGCAAAATCACTAAACTTCTCCCAGAATTCCTCACAGAGATTCCGCTTGTGGACACGCATCCACACGCCGCTTCTCAAACAGCAAAGGTTTGATGAAGAATTGTATAGTAGTTGTAGCAGAGATGGGATTTTTCCATATTTATATGAATTTCTGTATTTTCTGACATGAAAAATCTGAGGAAAAAATAGCTATGTTTTCAAATGCGTGAATAAAAATGTTATTTAATAAATATGAAATACATGTAATAGTAATACTAATTCTTATTATTTAGTACTCATTTTTTTATTTTAAAATCTTTTTATGATTTAAATAATAATGCCAATAATTTATAAAGATAATACACATTGTTAACTGGTGTTACTGATTATTATAATTATATTTATTAGTGCAATTATTATTAATAATTATTATTTCAATAACAACAATAATAATTTATAATTTTTATATAATATATAATTATTCATAATTATTTTGGAATATTTTAATTTTTAATTATATACTAAAATAGTGTTATCTGAATTTTAATATATATATATATATATATATATATATATATATATATAGTAGTAATATTCTTTCATTTTTGTAATTATAATTTAAATTAATATTATTAATGGAATTATTATTAATAATTAAAACAATATATTTCTTCATTGATTTTATTTTTTAATTTAAATAATATAAATATTATTTTGAATATTAATAATAAATATTATTGTTAAATAGTATTCCTACTTATTATTATTGTTATTAATAATAATAATAATTATTATTATTATTACAATAAATAAAATAGTGGAAAATATTCTTTATTTTTTTTTAAATGATAATATTATTAATTAAAAATTATTAATAATCAAAACGATAACAACAACACATTGTAATCATATATATATATATATATATATATATATATATATATATATATTCTGTACATTTATTGTTGTTGTTGTTGAGGATAACCCCTTGAGATGAAACATCTCGTTTTCGAGGGGGTCCTCGAGACAAAACAAAAATAATACGTATATATATATATATATATATTAAAGATAACAACAACAATACTATTTTTTTATATAGTGGATGTTGTATAGTCGAACTGAATGTATTTTATTGAATTGTTTGTTGCCATTGTCAAATGTACGATGTCAGAGAATCCTCCTACTACTTATCAGGGTGTTTCCCATCTTCTTCATGTCAAAATCTCTCTGTGTTTCAGCCGATAGACTGGGAGGAGGTGCTGTCGTCTCTTCAGGTGGACCGTGGCATTGGCGAGGTGGACTGGGCTCAGCCTGGCACCTCTGCTGGCATGGCCATGCTGGAGTCCTTCATTGATAAGCGCCTACGTTTATTTGCCACCCACAGGAACAATCCCAACTTTGACGCCCTCAGCAATCTCTCCCCCTGGCTCCACACCGGTCAGTCTGTGTGTTTTTCTTTTCTTTTGTAAAAGGCTTCCAGTGTCATCTAGATGCAGTTGTTAACGATTGCTTTCTCCTGAAGGTCAGCTGTCAGCTCAGCGTGTCGTGAGGCAGGTCAAGCGAGAGAAGAACGCCAGCGAGTCCGTGGCGTCTTTTACCGAGGAACTGGTGGTGCGCAGGGAGCTCGCAGACAACTTCTGCTTCTACAACCACAACTACGATGATATTTCAGGTGAGTGCTGCTCCGTCACACAGATATCAAGATCGTCTTGGCCTTTGTTTAAAGACTTCTCTGCACAGGTGCGTACGATTGGGCCAAGAAGACTTTGCAGGAGCACTCTAAGGACACCAGACAGTACCTTTACACAAAACAGCAGCTGGAGAACGGCAAGACCCACGATCAGCTGTGGAACGCCGCTCAGGTGACTAAACAACTGCTTACTGTTTTAATTTTTTTTTTGGTTGTCTTATCACTGTTGTAATGGCAAAACCAGTGAATGTTGCTGGTCTGTTGTAGCGTCAGCTGGTGTCAGAAGGGAAGATGCATGGGTTCCTGCGCATGTACTGGGCAAAGAAGATCCTGGAATGGACTGCGTCCCCTGAAGAAGCCCTCTCTATCGCTATATATCTAAATGACCGTTTATCTTTAGACGGCTGCGATCCCAATGGATACGTGGGTAAGAGACATAATGATGTTTTGTTTGCTCAGGCTGCATTAAATATTGTCTGTACAATACATTTTTAAGTCATTTTTAATGCTAAGAATATGGAAAAGGTACCCTACTGTTCAAAGGTTTGGTCAGTTTTTATTAGCAAGGGCACATTTAATTAATCAAAACCGACAGTAAAGACTTTTATAATGTCACAAAAGATTTCTATTTCAAATAAATGCTGTTTTTTTATTAGTACTTACTATACATCAAATAATCCTTAAAACAAGTATCACAGTTTCCACTTAAATATTAAGCAGCACAACTGTTTTCAACATAAATAATATTAATAAATGTTTCTTGAGCAGGAAATCATCACATCAGAGTGATTTCTGAAGGATCATGTGACACTGACACTGATAATAAAATATGTTTTTAAATATATGAATAAAAATAATAGTATTGCCGTTTTTACTGTATTTTTAATTAAATAAATGCAGCTTTGATAACGAGCTCTCCAAAACATTAAAGGAGCTGTATGCAAGAAATTTATTTCAATTAATCATAAATTTTCCCTGATATGTCACTAGACATTAAGAAATCGTGTTCATTTCAAATACTTATATCGCTGACAACAGTAGTCCGGCCAGGATATTGTCATTTAAAAAGTGAAGTCGCAGCCATCGACTGGTGTTGATGTTGTCATGTTGTGTTTTGTTCTGATGCATCACCCTCCACAGATCTACCAATCACAGAGGCAGTAGTGTTGCGGCATTGGGGTTGCCAGCTCTTCTCTGGTCACCACAGCTGCAGATACAAACGTGTCGGAATCGGATAAAAAAAAATGTCTAACATTTGCGAAACCCCCAAAAAACCTTGATATAAGTCCGAAATACTTTGTGACAAAGTCTGAAATAAATAATTAACAGAAAAAAACTCAATATGTAGGACTTGTCACATACCATTGGAAGCCTCTTGTAGCAGCCTACGTTCCTGCAGCATATCTGGCAACCTCGAGTCAAAGGGGAAGGGGGGATGCACCCTAATTTGAAAGTGATTGCAGTACCAGTTTTGGCCACAATCTTGCATACAGCTCCTTTAACCTCAAATTTTTTATCGGTGTGATTAGTTTTTCCAAAATGTCTTCGTATGTAATTCTATGAATTAATTGTTGTTTAATATTCTTCACAGGATGCATGTGGTCCATCTGTGGCATCCATGACCAGGGCTGGGCAGAGAGGCCCATTTTTGGGAAAATTCGCTTTATGAACTATGCTGGCTGCAAGAGGAAGTTTGATGTGGCGCAGTTCGAGAGGAAGTATGCTGCTATAAAGGCATCCGTGTAATTTAATTCTAGTCAAAATTCTGCTTTAAAGTTCAGTTTGTACTTGGTTTTTCTGGCTGACATTTTGTCTCTTGTGAGGTGAAGTTTATTAATAAGATCTTTACATGTACTTCTGATCAGTGGACCTACAACTGTGGCTTAATGTGCTGGAGGGTGATGCATCGTAGACTTCAGAATGCAGTGTTTAGATATTGTACTATCGGTTTTCTGCCTTTTTATGTGTAGGGGTGGAAGAATAGTTCCACCAAAAAAAAAAAAAACATTATTTTTTTCTTACAAATATCTCTCATATTGTGCTACAATACTGTGCCTTTTAAGCTCGCATTGAGCACCTAAAACAGTGGTTATCAACACACAACTCCCTAGGGGGCCTCAGTGCACTTCCAAGAGGGCCACAGGATTTCATTCATTTAGATTAAAATAATCTCACTTAAAAAAATAAAATAAAAAAAAAAATGATTTTTTTTATTCTTTTTTTTTTAAAACAACAAAATCCCAGCAATTTCTTTAAATCGACATACGTTTTAACTATAAAGATGCTCCACAATCTGAATGAAAAATATGTTTTGTTGTCATCTCATTATCTTGCATTTTAGGCTGAAATGAAGGTATTTGCAATAAGATTATAGGTATTTTAAATGGAAAAATTATTCTTGCAATAAATCCATTCAGATTTTTTCTTTCGAATTACAATCTGTATGCAATGTCAGACAGATATTTCATATTTCATAGCATGTTATAAAAATGAAGAAAAAAAATGTCAAAAAGGAAACTCCATGTAAACAATATAAACATTTTAATACGATATAATAGATAAATGAGTGACAATGACAGCTTTTCAATGATTTTTAATGGAGCATGCCGTTAACCACTTAACTGTCACCGTCCCACAGGTGGGACGTTTGCCACTATATTTTTAAAACAATAATATCTTAGTAAATACCTTAAATAATATTGACAAACTATATATCATTTGAAAGCTTACAATCTCTAGTTTCCATATTTGGTGACTGATTTTCAAAATATATTACAGAGGAGCCATAATTTATCAATATAAAACAAGAATATTTTCATACTCATAAGGTGTGTTCAGACCTTTATTTTAAAATAGCAGTAAACCTGAAAAATCATGAAAAAATGGTAGATACCTCAGTTTGTTTTCATGCCAAAAGTTCAAAAGATAGAATCCATTCAATTATTTTGGAAAAAAAGGTCTGAAAAGTTTGAAATATCAAGAAAAAAATAATAAATTCACCATTTGTGACGTGGCAGCTAGCTATGACTTACATGCGTGTTCTTTGTATGTGTTTCTTAGAGGTTCAATTCATTTCAAAATCTGCCAAACTTCCCATGCTACTTCTGAATAGGATCTCTACTTCAGAAATTGTATGAAAATTGTGAAAATAATGGTTCATATCACTCAAAACGCGAATGGAAATGCAGGCGCCCTTATATGGGCAGTAATGGAGTCTGATTGTGCCCTAGTGAAAAAGTTTGGTACTGCGCTCAAACAAAATCTTACTGAAAGCTCATTTTTTGAGATATCAACCTAAAATTTGAAACACAACTTGTTCAGATTTTTGGCTTTGATCTTTCTGCCATTTTAGAGTAGCCCAGGTTTTGAAAATATATATTTTATGTAAAATATGAATAATTAATATTTTTACATTGTACATTTTCATAAACTCAAACTTCTATAACTTTTTTTCTGTTTCACTTTCTTAATTTATTTCACTTCTACAAAAATCTGCCAAATGTCTTCTTTAAAACAAGGCCAATCATATGTCTATATTCCAAAGCATTCTTGAATTACAACCATTTAAGTTCGAAATGTGCATTTTCATGTCTATTCAAAAAAAAGGGGGGGGGGGGGGTGACAGTTAACAGGTTAAAATGCTATTTCTGGTATTTCTTTTATACATATTTATGTTAACACTTTACAAAAGGTCTCATCTGTTAACATTAGTTAATGCATTAACTAACATGTCATGAACTAACAATGAGTAATACATTCTTATAGCATTTATTAACATTTGCTACGGTTTTTATTAAATAAATGCAGTAAAATTAAAGATATTTAGTTCACAACATTAACCGTTACCAGATACAACTTTCGATCTTAGTAATGTTAATAAATGCTATAGAAGTATTGTTCATTGTAGTTAACAAATGAAACCTTATTGTAAAGTGTCACCCATATTCTTAGAAAGTGTTTCAACATAAAGTTAAACTGAAATGAATAGAAACAAGTATTTATGGGAATAAATAAAAATAAACCTGTAGGTTGCCATGTTGGAATACAAGTACATTTATATTTATTGAATAAAAAGGCAATTACATTGAAAATAATATGAAAAAGCATGTACAAAAAGGGAACTCAACAACAGCCTATGAAATCAACTATAATGACACATGATCCAAAGTATTTTGTACTTGCCCTCTAGCTTCCCTGAAAAATATTATTTACCATGCAATTGAGAAAGTCTCTGGGGACTATAATCAATGAAATATAAGCACTTTTTATCATCTTAGATTTGACAGCTGATGTATTGGGCTCTGTAGAAGCATATAGATAAAGATCGTAAAGTAAACAGGCGAAGGTTTCAGTATTCACCCTTGAGTAAAGACACGTTTACCTCATGCACATACAACAGTTCTCTGTACAGAGTCAGACATTTGCGAATCACAATATATCAATATAAATGAATAGCTCATTTTTAGAAATCGTTCATTTATAGAATATATTTTGAATATTTCACATTCACTATGATTACATTCACAGAACAGAAGTTATAAGAAATATAAACATATAGAATAAAAAACTGGCTAATATAACCTCATCACATCACCACAGTGTTGCAAAATATACCGTCATCATTACATTCCAAAGTCCAAAATAATGTAAAGTAGTTACTGGAATCATTCAAGATTTACAATTGCTGTCCATACTCTTACTCTGCGTTATATGCAACTGAATTTTACAAGACATGGTTTATAATTTTACAAGGATGCATTCAAAAATGACATTTATAGTGTTACTTACAAAATATTTCTATTTCCAATATATATATATATATATAAAGTTCTGCATGGCTCGGGCTTCTTAACTCGGCTTGCAATCAAATCATCTCTATAGGGAACAGCTGATTGGTTCCTGACCTGCTGTATCCGTAGCCAATGAGTGCAGCACGCTTTCGGGAACCCTCCTTCCCAAGCTCCACCTGTGTTGATCTGCTATAGGTTTTTTATGAACGCTATATTGTACAGCAGCGTGTCGTGTATTTATGTATTGGCATGAGCCCAGTACTTATATCAACATTGTCATATCCATTACCATGCCAAACACTCAGAGAGTTGCCATGACGGAAGTGCAGTTGTTTTGAACCTTGTATTTTTCAAAGAATCCTTGAAAAAATATGAAAAAATCTTTTTTTTATGAATGTGGTGTCATCTACCAACTTTATATCTATATAGAAACTCTGATATAATTTAAAATACTGTCATTTTAGGGCTGTGAAACGATTAATCACGATTAATCGCATCCAAATTAAAAGTTTGTGTTTACATAATATATGTGTGTAGTGTGCATAATTATTTTGTTTTATATAAATACACACAAATGCATGTACATATTTTTAAAAAATGTGTTATTATTATATCAAATATTTATGTATAATATACATTTTGAATAAATATTTATAAAGTATATACATGCAAATATTTCTTAAATATATACATGCATGTGTGTGTATTTATACAAAATAATTATACACACTACACACGTAAACACAAAAAACTTTTATTTTGGAAGGGATTAATCGCGATTAATTGTTCCACAGCCCCATTTATAGCCTACAGTTCCAATCCTTTAATTTAGTCAGTGAGTATAGCTCCACAATGTTCCTGAGTGAAAGCCGAGCACATTTGCCTGGAGCCAGCAGTCGTTTTATTGGAAGTCAGAGTATCTGTGTTTTTCAGTGGGAAATGGGCAATCTCACTCCGCTCCACTCGTATACGTGGTTGCAGTCCGGGTTTCAGTGTTTGTGCTGTTGCCTGGTGACACGCAAAACTCGATGCGTTGGCTTCTTTTGGAACTATTTTCATTGACGGAGAAGAAATATACGCACTAACTGACCAATTTCTTTTAAAGTTATATTTTGTTGGCTTCTATTAGACAGGACAGTAGGAGGAGAGACAGGAAACATTGAGAAAGGAAGAGGACGGTGAGCCAAGACTCGAACTCAGATCAGTCTCGAGAGACAGCTGCATCTGTATGAAGACCGCCCAGAAAACTACACTGACTACTTTCTTTACCAATTTCGTGTGAAAAACTGAAAGTTACTTGATATAAATAACTTTTTTACACGAAAGCAGATTATATTTGATGACGTCAAAAAGTGAGTTTACATACACAATAAAACACGGATAACATTCAAAAATCTGCTTCTTTAAAAAAATTCAGCAATGCAGAGAAGATATGTTATGAGATTAAAAATGTTTTGTAATCTAGTTTTTAAAAAAACTGGGGTCAGAAAGATTTTGTTGTTGAACTAACAATGAGTGATATTCTTATAGCATTTATTAACATTAGTTAATAGATGCTACTGTTTTTACAATGATGCATTAAATTGATCGAAAGTCAGTAGGCTACAGGAATAATGTTAGAAAAATATTTCTATTTCTAATAAATTCTGATCTTTTGTGCGTTATATTTATCAAAGAATCCCAAAAAAAAGGTTTCCACAATAAATATAAAGCATCTAAGAATCTGTTAAATCTTATTGTTTTTACTGTATTTTTGATCAAACTATAATGCAGCCTAGATGAACATAAGACACTTCTTTTAAAAACACACAATCTTTGAACGATATACGCTGATTTCACGCAGCCGCCATTTTGAAATCGAAAGCGAGGCTCCGGTGGGAAGAACCCCGGAAGTACAGATAGACAACAATGCCTTGGTCTACCAAGCTGAAGCTGATGCTGCGATTTACACTATTGGATGTTAATATCCAATATAGGATATGGATATAGTTCATTCCTGCTTCTTTTTTACAATCTGAATTATATATATATAAAAAAATTTGCGACTATGATAAAAAGTGACACTTCCGGTTTTCTTCCTACCAGAGCGATTTCAAAATGGCGGCTGCGTGAAATCGGAGGATAGTGTACTTGACTTTTCATGCCATCAGGTTATTAGCCATAGCAATTTTGGGTGTAAATTGCTGCTTTATGTTTTTTATTACATAAAACTGTATAGTCTGAATACTTGACAGCGCAACTGATTGAACTGAATCCCCTGTAATTTCTAGAGAGTCTGTGGCAGGCCACGAGGGTTGAATTTGACAGAAAAGGAGACAGAATTGGAGGCAGAAAAAGAGGTAGAAACAACACTACGTAATGTGACCTTACTTATTGAGAGCTGACGATGGTCTTTTTGACACACCACCTCACGGAACATTTCTCTGAAGCGTGAAGACATGAGGTTATAGAGGATGGGATTGACCACTGAACTCAAGTAGAAGAAGACACCAGAAAGTAGATGCACATACTCAAAGACATGGTGGTTCTCTGCAGTCCAGTCATTAATGTAGCTCCACATGACACGATCAATGTGAAAAGGAGCCCAGCAGATTCCAAACACAATCACCAATGCACCTGTGAGATAGTAAAACAGAAGAAGCATTAAGTATTGAATTATTATTATATTACATTACATTGCATCATATTATATTGTGGCTCTCAAACGTTTGTGGATCATGTTAGTTAATGCGATGAACTTTACCTGCGTGGAAAAAAAGTCAAATTTACTTCATTTTTCTTTCTTAAGTAAATTTCAAATTTTCACATTATGGAATTAAGTACAATCTACCTAACTGAGTTGAGTTAAGTTAAATTAACACAGAAAATAAGTCACTTTAACTTGACCAGTTAAAGTTTCATTTTAGTTGTAATTCTATTCCACATTTTACTCTAAAAATATAACAGTGTGCATTAAGCATGCTCTTACAGTGTATGTTTATTTTGAACATCTATAATATAGATATTGTGTAGAATATAGACAACATATCTTTTAGAAGTAATGTGTATCTGAACACAGAGACGTCAATAATTGGTACAATAATGGTAACTTTCGTGGGATCATTTTTGAATATAAATGTGTCATTTTGAACTAAAAAAAAACAGCTGGAAAATTGTAAAAAATGCAATGTTATTAATTATTCATGCCCCAGTGCATGATGGGAAAACCAGTATCAGAAGGTTAAGGTTTTACAAATTAAATGTTTTAATTTGATGAAAATACTTCTACTTTTACAAGCTTCAATTGAGTACTAATGTAGAATTGACTTGGTTTGCTTTTATTTTTGCCTGAACTTAAGTAGATATTACATGTTTTATTTTCTGTAGTATTTACTTCACCACAGAATCATTTTAATCAGTGTGTGTGAACTTGAGGAGAACTGACTTCATACATTCACTAAAAATCACCAAAACAGTTAATACGGGAATGACGTTAGTTCTGAGAAAATTTCTAGCATCAATTGTTTGCTCACTATTGTCATCTATAATGCAATGACATTCACACATTTTAGGTGTCCAGATACACTTATAATGTACTTATATTGTAAATCTATAAAACTAACTGTTACTCTTGGCTCAGTATTTGTGTTAATGAATAGATCTGGAGTATTTTATTTGTATCTTAGAATCAAAGTATATGTTGACATTTTTTGAAGATGGCCACAGAGTAAGTGCTGACCAGCTATTACAATAAGCCAGATGTACACTGACACTGTTCCTAAATCAGATCCCCTCTGTATTTACAATAACATGACAAGAGGCTGATAAAGTACAGATGAGTATTTTCTAAGGACAAATTATTCTCAACAAAGGTCCATGAAAAAACCCTACACACAGGACAAGAATGTGCCATGACTATAAGAGCAGGATTTGACTGTTTCTTTCTTTAAAAAAAAAAAAAAAAATATTTAGAAAAGAATACTTGAGTTTTTCAGTTTGAATAATGTACTCTGGAACTTTCTTATTAACAATCTTTCACTGCCAACACTGATGAATTGTGTGATTTGTAAACCCTGGGTTAACATTCTTTATACAATACCAATAACATCAGTGTTGGGTTGTGAAATGTGTTATAATATTGTTTTACTTCCTAAAAAAACTTGGCTACTTTTTTAGGAAAGTAATGTCACGTTACTTTTGTGTTACCTTTTCTTACGCAGAAGTTCACTATTGTACTTATTGAACAAAAATTGAACAAATGTGATGTTTAACTAGTCGTTTTTGCATATTGGTATTGTTGTGTTGGATCATTGAAGGTCAGTCGCAAAGACATTGGGTATAAAGTGAGATTAAATACATAAAGTAGCCTATATTTCTGTGTTATGTAGGTTTCAGATTTGCGTAATATTCTGACATTGACAGAACTCAATAACCATCATATTTACACAACACCTCTGCATCTTATGTATGATTTCTCTCAACATGTGGACAGAAGAGTTTTCAGTCAATAAATGGGAAAACAAAGTTGCATTACTTATTTGAAAAAGATGTTTTGTTGTAAATTTAATTTTGTTAAAGTTACAGGTTACTTTAGTTACTTGGGAAAGTAATCTGATTACCCCATTACTTGTAATGAGTTACCCTAAACACTGAATAGCATTGACTGGACAAGTATAAACCTGCAAAATAAATTTACTTTAAATATTTTAAAGGCAAAAATGTGCTATGTAAATAGATCAGAAGCAATCACCTGAAAAGATTTTATTATTTATTTACGTCAAACATTGCATGATGCGTCTTGACACGCTACTAGTACCGCCACAAATAGTAGCTAACGTTACCCGGTCGTCATAGTGACGCCTTTCGTTCCTCGTTGCCTTATCAAGCTCTCGCTGGATGCTCTCTTCGGCAACCAAACAAAGAAGTCTGCACCTCCTCGTTTGACCACGGCGTTTTCTTCCGAGATGCCATGATAATAGTAG